AGACTTAATCGATGAAGAACAACCACAATGTAAGACACCAAAAATTATTTTTTTTGTTCCTTTTTTATTTTTTGTAAATAATATTAAAAATTACATTTGTAAAATTACAGAAAGTCAAGGTTTATAAAAACTTGTAGAAGCAATACCAATAATTTAATTGTTCAGCTTAATTAATCTGAATAACCCAGAATAGGTAACTCATCTTTACAGTATTTTTATAATTACATTAATTAAATTATAGTGATATTACATGTATTCAAGTTTTTCAATAAAACGAAACCCAATATTAACAGAACACAAAAAATTAAAGAGTTACAAAAATAATTAAAAATATTGAGAATTTCCTTATGCAAAAATTATTTTTTTTTAGTTTTCCTTATTTTCTATTCATTCCGTCAACTATCAACATGTATAGACCATCTGAAAGTAGACATTTCAATGGTTTAAATGAGTCCCTGAAATCGACAAAAACATCAATAAAGTTTTCCGGTGAAGTTTTTTAAAAAAATTAAATATCGGAAACTACACGTTTTTGAAATTCAAAAAATTCACGCTTATTTAGCACTAAAAAATTTTTACTTTCACCAAATTTTATGTAAATTAAATTATTTTTACGCTAGAAAAAAATTAAAAACTGAAAAATCTGTCTTTCGCCATTTTCTTGGAAAATTTGAGGTTATGTTGGAAAACGTCATATACAAAAGTTTTAGATTTTTTCATTAGCTACAAATTTTGTATTGAACACTTTTCGCTAGCAGCTCTCGTTCCGCCGCAAAACGCAAAAACTTAAACCCTAAACTGCGCCCCCATTCCACCCCTTCCCAATATAAAAGTATTTGGTTCTTTTAGTTATTAAACCTAACTACATGTTCCACCTACCTGGTCCTTACCTGTGATTAATTTTTGTTTGTCAAACACTATCGTCACCAGTCTATTATTTGTTACGCTACGTTCTTTATTGCATTAAGAATATTCCTCATTGTTCACAAGTTTTTTGTGTGTTTCTTAGTACCTAGTCTAAATGCAATATGGTTAATACACTGCAGAAGAAAAACGAGATAAGTGTACATTAAACTGGACATAAGATTCGAGGACTTATATTCCGACAGAATGCAACCGAATATAAAAAAAATTTGTCGTTTGTTTTGTCTACAACTCTTCTCGAACATAATACATTCTATAAACCTAGAGTTCCGTATGTTAGAAGAAAGGAGAAAGTCAACGATATCAATATTTTAGCTCAAATTCGAATATATCCAGGACATGGGTAGACAGAGATAACAGAGATATAACCATTCAATGATAAAATATAATATTTACGATGCCAAGATTAATTCGAAAATCAATACGCTGTATTTGTAGGTCCTCGGCGAGGAGACGAAAAGTGAGACCTAAGAGAGGGCATAAAGAGAAAGGCTTTACACAGATACAACTTTTTTTTTTCAATGAATAAATGTGTAAAACGCTATGCGCTTATAATAAACAACGAAGATATCGATGCCGGTGTAAGCTCTGTTATCACTTGACTAGGTTTTGGAATTTATTGAAAATTATTACAACTAATTTAGTAAAATTACATCTAATTTAGTTAAATTACATTTAATTTAGTTAAATTTGATATAACTACTTAATGATTCAAAATTTTTTGGGTTCAGTTGCAATAAAATAGGTTGAATTATTTTAGCTTTTTTAATATATTTAAATAATTTTGTAAACAAAACGAGAATATTGAAATAGGCTTATGACAACAGCGGATATTATACCCTCCTGTGTCCCTTAGAATATTTCTTATTCAGGACCGCACGATATTTCTTAGTAAATAGTTACATCTCCTGTTATCTCTGGTCGAGGACGATTGCGGGTGAATTTAATTTATCAAAGTGCTATTAATAAGATAGTCAAGAGACACGGATACCATGATTACAAGTACTAAGCGGTACAAAAACTATATCGTAATGAAGATTGGGATTTTGTAATTGGTTTCAACGAAAAGTAACAACTTTGCACACAGAATCATTTGTGGAGAGAAAATAACATTCACAAATTCTGGTATGTTCAATCGAAGAAACAAACATTTTTATGCCACGAAAAATCCTTACTGTATCCAAGAAATGAGACATCAGTATCGTTTCTCTTCGAAAATTGGTGCGATTTGTTAGATAATAAATTACTAAGACCATATTTTATTGACGGAAACCTGACTGCAGCAAAATATTTAGATATACGGCAGGATATGTTAGATGCTCTTCCTATAGAGTATCGTCTTAACGAAATCTGGTTCCAACAAGATGGGTGTGGTCCACATAATTCAAGAATGGTCACGGATTATTTGAATCAGATTCATGGATTGGAACAAGAGGTCCAGTGGCGTGGCCTGCCAGATCTCTAGATCTGAATCCATTAGATTTTAATTTGTGGGACGTCTCAAAAATAAAGTGTATAAAACAATCAATTGAGATTCTCCTCGAAAATATTGAAAAAGCATTGGAAGATATCCAAGAAGATGAAATAAACAATTGCATAAAAAATGTGAATATTAGAATCGCCAAGTGTATATTAAAAAATGGCGGACATTTTGAACAATTACTCAATTAATTTTAATGATATATTCAAACAATTAGATTTTCCCTTATTACCAATAATTGCGTTTGGAAATATCTACATTACTATTTTTCTTGTTGATGAATTGTTTAATTTTAGGAGAGTTACATAAGTTTCGGGAGGATTGACTTTATTTTTCTATCAAGAAGCATGGTATTATGTTGATTTAACAAAAGATGGCGGAGACTAAGTAAATTTAATAAAATTTGGATTACGGTCCATACTAGCTAAAAACCGTCATTTAATGGCATTATATGATACACCGATGGATGAAGGATGAAAAGTTATTTCGAACAGTATCATAAAATATCCAGGTCTGTATTTAAAAAAATAAGTTGAGGGTGGTCTGGAGAATACGAAACGTTTAATGCAAAACCTGAAATCGTCAAATCAAAGAGAATTTACTATATATCAAATAAAAAACCTCTAAAATATTTTTTTAGTAGTTCTGAAAATAAATAAAGGATAACCGAAATTATCGAATTTCCTTTTATCGTCATATCTCAAGAACCGGTCCTGATATTTTCAATTTTCCACCGCAACTTTTTCTCCATTTAATCGACCTTCTAAATAGTATGTCTTAAAGTTACCAATACAATCCCATTCAAAAAGTGGACACCCTGTATAGATAGCATTAATGAAAATCATCATCGAGTGCGTCTGCAGCAAAATATTTTCATTTTCTACAAGGCAATAATGAACGAGAAATTTGTAACTTTACCTTACGCAAATGGGTACCAAACAAGTGTCACTAGCTCCTTCACTATATAGTCCGTCAGATAGTGACAGGTTTAGGTGTCCCATTTTCGCATACAAGCCTCGAAGAGGGTTGAAAAGTACATCGATTTTAAGTAGAATGAAAGGAAATTTACGAGTGGCTGCTGGGGATAACTCATGGGAAATTCGATTTTCCCTAACAAAAACAAAAGGTTATTTTGTAGTGCCTCGATTGCACTACATACATTCGTACCTTAGAACTTCACACTTTTGTCTTGTCAACTATCGGATAACCTTCATTAAGTGGCAGCCTTGATGAAAGTTAAATTCACTTCCTTGGCAACATCCGTTACCACGGATCTATTGATTATCATTATGACTTTTTATATTTTTACTATACATGACATGTCATCGTTCTTTATCTACAATAAATAATTTTACATTTATCTACAAATAATTTATGATGGGATCTACACAATTAAAAGTTCCCATATATTTGTTGCCCATTTTTTCACGCAAGCCGTTTTCTTTATATGATTAATTAATAGAACTAGACTTCGGAAAACCAGAGGCTTTAATGTTACAAGTGGCTAAAGGGTTGAAATAAGGACGTAATCTTCTAAGGAAAAATCGAGATTTTGTCTGATTTTTCCACACAAGCCCATTGAATGTATGAAAACGTACGTCGTCACTAATCCGAAAAACATATTTTCTTGAATGACCCGAATGTATAAGTGCATTTTGGGGTCGATAAATTTTTCTGATAAGGAAAATCGAATTTTCCATTTCTTATCCCCAAGAGCCACTTGTAAATTTTCTTTTATTCTACACAACATCAATGTATTTTTCAACCCTCTTCTAGGATTGTATGCGAAAATGGGGCAACCTAAATCGGTCACTATCTGACGGTCTAATAGGAGATACCCACAAAATGTTTAATTTAAAGATCTTTTATCCGTCAAAATAAAAGTAAACGAAATGCACATGAGTCGAACTGGTCTAAAATATAAAAATATACTTAATCTATAAATTGGACGATGCTTTACTATTTGGAACCACTTCTTTTATACAGATTTAGAAATATAGTTTTGGAATGTAGGTTATACAATGCATTAAATGACTAGTCTAAAAAGTAGTTGACCAGTTGAAAATATAACAGGTGTAGGCGATGAATAATCTATGTTTAAATCATAATTCAGCGTACTAAAGTTGGGTAAGCTCATAACGATTGAAAGTAATTTCTATTTTAAAATTTGTAAGAAGAAATAAAAAAGTATTTTGGTGTCATTCGATTCAATGCATTCGAAAACATGTAAATTTCATCAAAGGACCCACAATACTTATTTTTACGGGATAAATTATTTTGGTTACATATATTTTAAAAATAATATCTTGAAGACTTATTGCTAATATTATAATAAAAATATAACTCAAGACGAGCAGCTCTATAGTGATTATTTAACGAACAAGTGTATTAATAAGGGCGATTAATAATCGAGATAATTTAACGCGAGCATTTAATTCACAAGTTCGCTACAGAACTTTTCCTTCGACAGTACTTTTTAAAAATAAAGATATCTTACTTTCAATTTTTATTTATTTAACGAAAAACGACAAAACTATACATAGAGTTTTTGAATTTTAAGAAATTAAAAAATAACAGATAGTATTAACACACCTTCTTGATTTCAAATGTATATGTATATGTTTGGTTGCCTACACCATAGGTAACTGTCAATATAAATGTATAATAAGAGCAAGTATATTGGGTTGTATATAACAAAATCGTTGATTAATAGAAAATAATTCATTATTAGGGGTTATTAATCAACGATTTTAAGTGTGTTAAATCATAAATGGTCCATCGACGGAAACATTTTTTATTGGATTATTCATCGCAAGCATCTGTTCAACTAATTTTTAAATCAGCCGCTTTAATGCATTGCAAAATCTATTCACATATATTCATTTTCACAGTCTGCATAATTTTGTCACGTACGTTTTACACTTAAAAGAACAGTCCTTCAAATATTCCCTCAACCAAAAATAAAATCTTAATTACTAACAACAAATCACATAGACAATTTTATCACGTTTTCAGAAAAATCAGGTATATAAAAACATATACCTCTTAGAAAGGTAAACTAGCCACGAACATTTTTTCTATAAGTGGAGGGGCTGGTACCAGGTCTTCCAATTTTAAATAAAATATCCTTTGTAGACCTTGGACGCTAAGGGACCTTAATTCAGGGAGCTTTCCTAGGAGCCTGCTGAAATAGTGCGACTTTCTCTGCGCTTCTGCATTGTACGTCACGTGATCTCGCAGCGAGGAAATGATCTTCATCTGGAGTTGCTCAACTTTGTGAGGATCTTTCAAGCCGTGTCGATCTGAAATAGAATAGTTGTTTTAGATAGTATACATTTACGTTAAAATTCATAGGTCAGATTAACCCGTTAGTCCTATTATTGACCAGGTTTTGTCTAACACAAAGCAAATAGCCTTATCTACTCTCATTCTTCTGTAATGTGATATTTTTGATACATTCTTGAATCTAGATAAAATAGAATGAAGTATCGCTTGGTGTTAACACTACAGGTAAAATTGCTTTAAAACTAAACAAAATCAGGATGTTGGTCCTTTGAAGCATCACGAGATAATTAATGCTAAAAAATTATTATTGCGATTATCACAAAGTCAACCTTTTAAAGATAAAATCCAAAGGCTTGTTTCTAAAAAATCTCTAGATCCCAAGTGCTAAATTTTGAAGTTAATCCAATTTTTTTGATGATATAATTTAAAATATAACCAGAAGCATATCTTCCATAAGCCATATAAAGTTATAATAGAACAAATAGAGGAGCCGGAAGTGGCAGGTACGATTTATATCTACACCGAAGGTTCTAAAACAAAACAAGGCGCAGGATGTAGAATATACTCAAGATTCCTAAACCTAAACATAAAAAGGGCTGTAAGCAATAGTGCCAGTGTAGCTCAAACAGAGCTAACGGAGATTCTCATAGCCGCAAAAGAAATAACCAGAAACAATATCACTGGAAGGAACATGCTCATCTATACAGATAGCAGACAAGCACTACTCACCCTGAACAGACCACGCATTTACGCAGGGTTAGTACTAGAATGTCATGAAGCTTTGGCAAAAGTATTCATCAACAATGTGGTCACCTTAAGATGGATCAAAGGTCACACCACATTAAAAAGTAACCGTCTTGCTGATTTACTAGTCAAGAAAGCAGCCAACCAAATACTTTTTGGACCTGGTCCTTCTATTGGTCTGACAAAATCGGTAGTGACTGACCTAATTAAAGAACCTTTCCTTTGTTAAATTCAAGGAAAGATGGGGGGATGAAATAAGAAACTGCAAAGTTGCCAGGGAGCTCTTAAGTTATCCTGACAACACTGCAGCAAACAAATACTTGACCATGAGTAGACAGAATCTGCGCCTAGTAACAGGCATTCTGACTGGTCATTGCCAAGTACGAAAGCATCTCCATATCATGGGGATGTCAGAATCCGCACTCTGCAGAGGGTGTGAACAAGAAAATAAAACTATTGAGCATATCCTTTACGATTGCTCGACGCTCTCATTTATTAGAAGATTTGTGTTCGGCGAGTATCGGCTAACACCAGTCGATATAAGAGAGGCACCTCTTGGCGACGTTGTCAACTACATTTAATCTGTAGGCTGGCTCACGAGCTAGGAGGTGCCTATCATCTCATAAGTGCCGTGGGGGTAACCCACCCTCCACACGTTACAGATACAGAACAAGAAGCACCCTACTTTACTATGCTCGAAAAATCGTTTATGTAGGCTTTTTTTTTATAAAGAGAAGATAAAAGGCTTCTACACGCAGGCCCTTAGCATTTACTCACACATACTTACTAGTGAAAAGTATTTGCCACTCTTAGGGAGCCAATTTATCACCAAAAATTGTTCACTAATAATGTGTTACATGCTTTAAGACTAGACCTAGTTCCATAGCTTCCATTATGGGGAATTTACCCTTAAGCAGAGTCACTCCGGTCCCTCCCTTATTTACAGTTGGCGTCGATGATGTAGGCTCGATTAGAATTCAAAATAAGGAAGATAGAAGACGCAAAGTAACTAAGGCGTACATGTATTTTTGTTTCGTTACCTGAGCCATTCATATAGAACTGGTTCAAGATTAATAATTTCATTGCTAAATTTAGACGATAATGGGACTAATTTTGTGGGAACTCACAATGAGTTGCAAGATCTCGAGAATTTTTTGAAATGAAACTCTGCACAATTGGCTAAAACATTCGAGTATAAATCTCTTGATACCAGCATACTATCTACATTTTGGAGGCTTACGGAAGGCATGGTAATATCCATAAAATATCATTTCTTTCGAATAGCTTGTCAATGCATTATTGTCATTTGAAGACGTGAATGGATAAAGGGCCATCTACTTGAATGTTGTTTTCGAGAAAAACCAGTTCAAAGTTTTTTATGCCTAATTTAACACAGAAGTGCTATATTAATCAGCTTTTTCCTCTAAATGTGTTTTTATTGAAAAAATATATGTAATATTAAATCTAACCTAAAAAAACGTTTAGTTTTTCACGAAAAAATAAATAATGTACATAAGCTCAAAGCCCTTCATCCACTAATTCGTTTAACTGGATAAGGGACCCATAGGTTTATAGGTACTTATACAGACTGAATCTTACAAGAAAGAACAAGTAAAACTATTAATGTGTGTCTGGATGATACACGCCTGTTTACAACTGTTAAAACATAGGACCTGTTTCAAAGAGAAACAAATATAACGATATCAGTTTTCAATGGAAGGGTCTTATGAACATTTATTTGTACATATGTCCTTAATCCAATGAATAAATTAACTGTTATCTTTAGTGCCTAATAAAAATCACGCCTATGCACCATTCTAAGTTATATGGATCCTCTATCCATAAAATTTTGTCAATTTTTTTTGTACAGAGACCCTTTATCTTCTGAATACTTTTTTGAATATTATCAGATTCTGATTTAACATTGAAGGAAAATTATTTATCATTTTTTAAACGTCTAGCATACAAAAAGTAATTTTTTTAAAAAATGTGACATGTGCCCTTTATCCATTCATGTCTTCATTTGAGAAGTTATATATTTTGTTGATACAAATCGAAGGGATTTTAAACTCGCGTCCTATATTTTTTTTATCGACTGACCCTTCCGATTTGTGTCCCTTGAACTGAAAAGGCCCATGACCTCCTTAGTAGATTTAGAATTGTTAAACAGTTTGTCTAATCTCTTCAAAACATATGCCCAACTCGAGAATGAACACTTTGAAGTTGAAGTCAACTTTTGCCTTTACCTGGACACCCTTCGTACAGTCCTGACCTTTTATTTATTTCCGAAAATTATGGATCAAAAATTGAAAGTATATGTTGAAAAATAAATATACAGTGAAACCTGTGTAAAACGGAATCGCACGGTCGTGCACCGATTTTCCGGCATATACAGGATTTCGCGTTACACAGGGTAGATAAAAAATTGCACATAGTAGATTTAAAAAAGTGATGATTTTATTAAAAAAAATCTAATATACGTACATTTAATATATAGTTGTTATTATTACTATGTACCTACATATTTTTATTTATTATTAGAAACAATATAAATTATTATTTATTCCACATTTCTATCAATGTAAGTTGTTTTTTATTCTTTTGTAATACGTAAGATGATTCCATGAATGTCCTTAATTCTAAAATCCTCTTTCTCATCGGTTCGCTCTCTATTCTTTGGGAAAAATCCTCTAACGCTGCAACACTCCTCAAAGCTTCAGAAAAATTTTTTATCCGATCGGATTCTTCAACTTCTGTTCCTGTAGATAAAAATAATAATAAGAACAGATCGTTTTGAAAAGCTAATGGGAAAATAATTTTTTCTATCTGTTATTTTTGTGATGGTAACTGAAATCTTCCTATCTTATTTTTATTATGTATTTTAACTTTATTTCTACTTGGCCAAATGCCCAATTAAGATGGAAAGAATAAATAAAAAGTTGTTTATTTTTTTAGAGAATTAGAAAAATCGCTTACCAATTCCAATCCCATCATTATCGTCTGCCACAGTAGTTTCCACGGCAGTTTTTTCCAACACCAGTTCTTCTATGGACTGAAATCCAGCATTTGTTGTAACGGCTTCATCTAATGTGATGTAATCATGAACATTACAACCGGGATTAATTTCAGTAATTAACTCTTCGACTTCTTTTGTACTTTCGTCAATTTCGTCAACATTTTCGATTAGGTCAACGTCTCCATCTTGCTTGATTCCACATGCCGCAAAACATTTTTTAACACAATCAGGTTTAATATTTTTTACTGAATAATCAATCCATCTGATAGCATCCAAAACTGATATTTTTTTAGCCAAATCTCCTGCTGATTGAGAGAATCTCATATTCGCAATAATTGACCGCAGCACTTGTTTTCTGTAATGCATTTTGAAGTTTTGTATAACTCCATGATCGAGAAGCTGTGTTTGACTTGTGGTGTTTGGTGGTAGAAAACACAATTTTATATTGGATAGTATTATTTTGGGGTGACACGTTGCATTATCCAAAAATAGAAGGATGTGTCGATTTTCAAATTTCATTTTTTGATTTAAAATTTTTAGCCACTGTTCCATAAGAACTGATGTCATCCATGCTTTTTTATTTGCTCGCCAATAAACTGGTAGCTGAGGCACATTGGTATTGTTAAAACATCGCGGTCTGAGGGATTTTCTAATAACTAGAGGTTTTTCTATTTTTCCGTCAGCAAAGGCGCAAAACAAAACGGTTAACCTTTCTTTAGATTGTTTGCCTCCTTGACATTTTTCACCTTTAAAGCACATTGTCTTGTCCGGCAGCGCTCTATAAAAAAGGCCAGTTTCGTCACAATTAGCAATGTCTTTTAGGGTATATCCTTTAATTAAATCTGTAATGTGCGATGTCCATTCAGTCACAGATTCCATGTCGACGTCCTTAGCTTCACCGCAGATCTGATTAAATCTTATGTTATGTCGTGTTCGAAAACTTTCCAGCCATCCATTCGAAGCTTTAAAATCTACTTTTCCAAAATGGTTTGCAATTTCTCTTGCTTTTTCTTGAATAATTGTTCCAGATACAGGAAGATTGCGAGACCTTGCATCCATAAACCATTCCAAAACTGTTGAATTTACGTCGTCGTGATGTGATTCCCTTGGCTTTCTCTTAATATCGCCATTACCACCACGCATCCACTCTTCTTTAATTTTTTCCTTGTTTTTCAAAATTTCATACACTTGCGTTTTTCCGCACTTAAATTGAATAACCAATTGCTTTGGAGTAAGTTTTTTTTGGTCACTACATTT